TCTGATTTAAAGAGCTGAACAAACTTTAATTCAATAAATATTCATGAATATCTAGTCCATGTTAGTAATGCTATGCACAGAGAAATGAAGAAAACAGATAAAAATCCCTCCCCTTGAGGAACATGCATTCTAGAAAGAGAGATAATAAAGGAATTAAAATAGTCAGTGGTCAGTGGTCAGAAGTTGGATAATACTGTATTAGAACTTGGAGTCAATAAGATTTTTCTGAAGGACAAAATAAGAAGTATAAAAGATGAAGCAAGGATGATTGCGTAGTTCTGAACATATTAAAAGTGAAGCTGCTAAAATCTATGAGAGAAGTAGTTTTGCAGGTATGAGGAAGATCAAAAACTGAGATCTGGACTTATCTAGCTCACATCCACATAGATAGTTTGAATAAGCAGGTGGATGTCTGGGTTGGTTTCCGGGAGAATCCAGGCTGGACACATGGGTATGGGAGGGGCTCGATGTATGGGTGGTATTTAAAGCCTGGATAGGAAGGACACTGAGGGAGTGAAAGTACAAAGAACAGTCAGAGGACTGAGCTTTGTGTGCTCAGCAATTAAGGAGATGGGGGGGTGGGTTGTGCAGAGGAGACTGAGAAGGAAGGGGTGACCGGGGAAGAGAGAAGGACCAAGAGAGACAGATAGCCTGGAAGCCATACACCCCACCAAGTGCAGAAAGTATCCCCAGAAGGAGGGGTCAAATACCGGCTTTCAATCAAGCAAGGTGAAGCTGGAGATTGTAGAGAATAGCAATTCACAAACCATTGGTACTAAATTAAGGGCAGTTTTGTGCAGCAGAGGCAAGAAAGGTTGATTGGAGAAAGTTCAAGAGAGATCAGGAGGAAAAGAACCCGACACTGTAGGTACTGACACATTCAAATTGTATGGCAGGACACACAGAAAAGTGAGGCAGTGGTGGGAAAAGGAGAAAGTCAAGAGTGTGGGATTTTAAAGGATGACATAGATATAAAACGTTGGAAATAAGCCAGTGGGGGAGAATGGCTGTGAACTGCTGTGCAGTGTGCAGGCAAGAGAAATGGAGGCACAGAGAGTACAGGGCGGGCCAAGGGGCAAGAATCCTGGAACAACGCACACCCTTCCAGTACAACACGACTCCACTCTTCCCTGGGGTTGGCTGAATGGGGTTTCTAAACTGCTGAACAGGACAAAAAGACAGCACTTTTACTTTGGATGCTGTTATTATCGTTATAAATGAGTGACTACAAAATTGCATTTTTTTTTAAAATAACAGTTTAATGATGGGACAGAAATAACTGCTTACTCATTCAATGATCATTTATTGCTAGGCGTATAGCTCCATGGTCAAGCACTTGATTAGCATGTACAAAGTCCTAGCACAGATAAAAGAAAAAGAAAAATTTTTTTAACTGAGGGGATTGGCTTAGAATGCAGCTCAGTGGTAGAGCACTACTAACAAGGCCCTGGGTTCAACCTCTAATGCCTCAAAAAGAAAAAAGAAAAAATATGTTGACCTAGTAAGTGCTTCTAGGTGCTGGGATTCAGTAGTGTGAAAAATAATCACACTTAAACACTTTGCGGGTCTTTTTGAGACAGGGTCTCCCTGCAACCCCTGCTGGCCTGGAACTCACTATGTAAACCAGGCTGGCCTTGAACTCACAGAGATCTGCCTGCCTCAGCCTCCCAAGTGCTGGGACTACAGGCGTGCACCACCATAGCCAGCTGTGCACCACACCTGGCTGTAAAACACTTTTATCAGTTGCATTATCATAAAATGTGCTGTGAGCTGTCTTATCTGTCCCTTATTGCTGTATAAAACCCCTCATTTCCCAGAGGCTGATAAGCTTTGTTTTTAAGGCTTCTTTCTTCCACAAGGCTCCTTCTAGAGAAGATATTGGAGAACTTTCTCTTTTTTCTTCTTTGCCAGGATTCAATCCAGAGCCTTTTCAAATATATTTAAGTGATCTTAGAATTTAGTCACTTTTAGTAACATTAACAGGATATTCTAAATGCCTTTTAAGAACTGTTCTTTCTGTTAGTCTTTCAAATGCTACTAACATGTAGTTAAATTCTCTCACAAAACCAACCTGAGCTACTTAATTTCCCTTCCTTCAGTTTCTATCACAAAAACAGTTCTACATATGGGAAAGTAAGAAGTGTAGAATTGCTGAGACTTCTTTTCACTAATGTAGACACCTGAATTTTCTAGTCGTCACTAAGGCACCCACTGCAGCATGGTGAACCTTTTAGGAGGTCAGCTGCCACTTTGAGAGCACTCATTTGTCTTAGCCTTTTCTGCAGCCTTCTTGACAAAGACCGAGTCTCTGATTTCAACGCAGTATACTTATTTCATGGGAATCATTTCTTTTAAAGACGCACAAAGCCTCTTCTAAACTCTTCCTCATTCATGTGAGAGCCTTAGCTAGATTTCCTATCAGTTTAAGACTTTATTTAGCAGAGAGCAGTGCTGTGCACGTGTAGTCCCAGCTAGCTCACAGTGTTTGGGTAGGACAATCTCTTTAGCACAGAAGTTCTAGGCTAGTCTGGACACCATAACAAGTTCCTCAAATCTCATAAATTAGATTTATTTCTGTTTTAGATTTCCCATAGTTTGTTATGTTTTAGGAATTCATAGGTTAGGCTGGGCATGGTGGCACACGCCTTTAATCTGAGCACTCAGGAGGCAGAGGCAGGTGGATCTCTGTGAGGTCAAGGCCAGCCTGGTTTACATAGTGAGTTCCAGGCCAGCTGGGGCTACAAGGAGACCCTGTCTCAAAAAGACAAAAA